GCTTGCTCGCTCTTATCACTGTTGCATATTAAAAAGAGCTGCAATTTATGCACCTAACCTAATGGCTTATACTAACAGCTCCTTAAGTTGCGTGTGGAATCAAAGGAACTGTGTGATGATCTTGTACAGGAATATACAATATTTTTGAATATACAATAGCCTGCAAACCTTGGCCACCAATCAGCATGATTTTTTTAAAATACCTTTCCCAATAACTGTAGCCATATAGCCTATGTAGAACAGAGATTGGTGACTTACTGCAGTTTTCTAGTGATTTGATGTGGGCTTGCAAAACAGGCATTCAAACTCTGTCTTTGATGCTATTCCATGAAGAAGCTGGAATTTTATCTCCAAATCCTTCTATTTCAGAAAAGTTATGGTTTTAGGTTAACGATGTAAAATATAGTACAGAGATCCCTTTAAAGAAATGAAAACTGAATTTTGTAGTATCATTGTTCCTATTTCAAGGTTTTAGCATATAACTAAACACAGGTTTTTAAAATGTTATACCATTCTGAGCATACAGCACTGTGTTATTTCAATTGGCATAATTTCATTATAGGACTATTTGGTGGTTCTTGTTTAACTTTTTTTTTTACTTTTTTTCCCCCTTTCTTCTCCCCCCCCTCCCCCCCCACCAGAACTGTCATATGGGACAAGAATAACATCACTGCACAGGGCTTCCAGGACATTGCTGTGGCACTGGAAAAGTAAGTTCTCAAGCAACTGAATGACTGATGAACAGGCCAAAGACTTAGATCCTGAATGATCTGAGCAGCTGCTGTTCTCATCACAGTCAATATGATTAGAAGATGCTGAGTGCTCTCAATTTTAAGCATCAGGGTGCTTAATGTAAAGGAAAATGTATGACTTCACATCCTTCAAAAGGATGAGAAAAGGCTCTGTGGCTCTTTCATCCATACTCTGCTATCAGCATTAAGGCCATTGAGTTCTGTTAGCATTAAAATTTGGAATTTGAGAATATTTTCCCTTCATTCTCTTATGTTGTTAGCATGCAGAAATTCTATTCTAGTCAGTGAATGAAGCTGTATATAATAGTAGAAAATTACTGAAGCATGCCTTTGTGGTCTGATTTTTTTTTTTTTCTTTCCCCCAGCAAGTTGAAAGTAATAGGGATGATCTCGGGAACTGCCATTGTTCATCATAATTGCTGTGGTCTGGGTCATTTTGCTTCCCTGAGCTTACTCACGTTTGCAGCCGTTATCAGTGATAGATGCTAAATGACTTTCATCTCTCTCCATCACATTCCTGTATATGTTATTATTACTTTTCTTAAGAGGGAAAAATTACAGATTTAAATTAAGCAGCAGTTGCAGTTGTTTCACATGATTGAATCTCTCAGAGAGGAAGAAAGGCTCTCTTTAGAAGGTGAAGGTAACATACAATTGCTAGTTTCTAGACAAGATGCCTTGCAAAACTGTCTAACTACTTAGGGAAGCAGTTTAACCCTCAGAGGGGTCATGAGGCTAGAACTGATAAAGTTACTTGTTTTATGAAGCTGTTGTAGTTTTTATACTTGGTTTCAAAACTAATTCAGTTGCACTGATGGGGGAAATCATATAAATGATGTATAATTAAGCAAATTATCTTGGAGTGATGCCATTGATAGTAGTGAATAATAATCTGCAAAGGATATTTGTGAGATTGCAGGCATTTCTCTTTTAGAGAGCAATAGTATGTACATTTATGAGAAAGTCTAGTAGAAAATAAACTTGTTTTCTGAACTTTTCTGTTCTGAAGTGCTTGGATAAATGAATAGAAAGGAGGGGGAAAACCTAAGGAAAAAGCAAATCATCTAAGCAGGGGAAAAAAAAAAAGAAATGCTGCAGATAATTATGTGACGTTGCACTTTATTGAGGCAACATCTCATTCATTTAGCTTGGAAGGCTGAGGTCATCATCTGCCTTCTCTAACATTCTAAAATTGTTAAAAGCATTTATAGTATCATAGGCTAAGCCACAAGCAACAAAGGTTTTCACTTGCAAGAGAGGGACTGTCAATATTGGCTGTAAACAATTAGCCTTTAAACTATCCAAATTGAAGACACATTGGGAACATCCTGCACCATATTTTTCCTAAAAATACATGAAACCATGAATATTCTGTAAGAAATAATTGTTACTCAAAATGGAATGAAATACATTGAAGATGCTTGGGGGTATGTGTGCTGTGTGTGTTGTTTTGATTTTGTTCTTAAGAAAAATAGTCATACAGTTAACCACAAAAAAGAAGAAAGCTAGACTTTTGTAGTATGATGAGGAGGCTGAGGAGAATTTGGGAGGGATTGTAACAGGCTTTAAAACAGACTGAAGTAATCTGAAGGTTGTTTTTTCTCCTCCCATCTTTTTTTCATCAGCTTAAAGTTGTGTGAACATGTTGTTCCTGTAAGGGAATTCCAGGACTTCAGCTGTTGACAGAGTTGCCCCTGGGGTGTCCCTTCCAGCTGACGTGAGAAGCTGAGGGGTTCTGTAGGGTCCGGTGCAGGTGTCAGTTCAGGAGAGCATTTGGGACCAGTGGCCATCCCGTTCAGCCTGGCCTTTGAGCAGGGTTTTATAGCTCAGGACTTTTGATATGAAATTAAGTGTGTGCTTGTGTGCTTTGCAGTCTAGAGCCCACTGTGTTGTAGAACTCTACAGTATTGCCCGATATTTATTTCTAGATGGGTTTTTTCTCTGTATGGACAACCTGAAGAGATAGTGCAGGTTCTAAAATCTGATGGGAAATACTGGGATTTGTTAGAGACATTTGCAGTGGCATGAAATTTACATTCCCAAGCCTGCAAAATGGAGAATCTGATTCCTATTTTTAAATAAAATAGGCAGTGAACACTCTGCTGCACAGCAGTGATTATCTCATGAATGGAGCAGAAGTTACTACAAAGGAAATAACACATGATGGAATGTAGGGCTGTTGTCACATGTGCTGTGTGTAGAGGGAGAGGCAGGAGGTTTTTGAGACATCCTTTCCAGTCTCTGAGCACCTCCCTGAGATTTAACTTCCTTTAAATATGGGTATTTTGCTGAGACTATTAATGTGTTATGAAATTACTGGATTGTTGAGTTGGTAGAGAAATGTACTCTGTTATAAGACACAAGTGGAGTGTTAATAAAAGAAGAATGATATCTGAGACTTCAAAGGAAACAGAGAAAAATTAAGTATGAAGATAAATGTTGCTATGATGATCAAAGTTGAAAAGCAAGCTTTCAATTCTTGGGTGTTTTTTGCCCTTGAGAGCTGGTTAGATGAAAATAAAGTAGCATTCTGATACAATGGTGTCTGGAAGGAAACAAAGTACAGAGCCTTCCTTAGGGTAGTAGCTTTCTAAAGTTATTCCTCTGTGACTGTGTGTCCATGAAATCCCCATGCCTTTCACATTCCCCCCTTCCCCTGCATGCGTAACGGAGGGTGCACTAAGCCTTTGACTAAATTGAATTTAGCATGTAATTACTAGCATGAGAGCTGGCAATTATAGATTTCAATGAATGTGATGTATTAAATGTCAAACAGCTGCAGAGATCCTTGGAAATCTACCTTTGTTTCTTTTTATCTAAATAAATACCCCACCTGCCAGGTAGTAGTCAGGCAATCAGCAAGTTCTGTAATTATTATCTGTCTTGGAGCTTGGTACCTTTGATATTTAAAAATTGACCCCATGCTGATGGACAGCCAATTATTTGCTATTTAGTATTACATGAGGACACATAACAGAGCCTGTATAGAAGGCACAGTACTTGTGAAGGGTAAGACAACCAGAAAGAAAAGTTAATTTTCCAGCTGCAGTGTGGTAGGCAGCTGGACACTGAGCAAGGACAGGATCCTTGCTGACTTCAGGTGAGTAACCACCTGCCACTGACAGCTATATTGTGCCGTGTTTACGTTGGGGAAGAAACATAGAAGTCTTCCATTATCATTTAAGGTGAAATGTTGGGTGATATCAATGAGGAATTGGTGTGTTTGGCAGTTCAAAAGACTGCTGTCCTTCAGAGAGTGGTGTTTCACGTGGCTAAGCAACTGGTGGGAGAGGAAGTGAAAGAACCTTGGATTTAGTGAGGGATGGGTCCATGGAAGTCAATGGAGTTGACTCAATTGAAACTGTGAACTTCAAAGTGCTGAAAAATAGATGGTTCCAACCATATTTATGTAGCTCTGGATGAAACAGGAACAGATGGTTTGTGGGACGTTTGCAGACAGTTGAAGGAGGAGGTAGAGATGTTTGAAGGAAATTAAGGCTAATTGAAAATAGGAAGAATCATTTCCTTTCCAGGTTTTAAGACTTTTCTGCTCTTTTGTTTTCATTTATTCAAATCTGAAGGTGTGTGGACATACCACACTTTTAGCATCTTAGGTTTAACCGTGTCCTGCTAGCCAATTTACATTCTCAGAGCTAGAATACAATTTTGCCTCAATACCAAAACCCTGTCTTTATTCTCATATCACAGCAGATGGACAAAGCTACAGAAATATTTTGCAAACAAACAAGTAAAATGCAGGGAGCAATTGTTCGCATAAAGCTGTGTGGAGATGCTGTGCTTGTTTTGTCAGCTTTTATTAAAAATGCAGCAAGTGTCTTCAAATTGTTGTAAACACAAGAAGTTATTAAGCAGTAAATTTTCAAACCTCAGTCACTTAGTTGCTATCTGTCTGTTACTGAATATTTCTATTTACACTTAGATCTGACAGAACTGCCAGCAGGCACTGACACTCCCTGTTCTGTTTTGATATAGGAAGAAGTAATCCAACCTTGTGTGCAAAGGTACAGAGGGCAGCTAGGCCTTTAATTGACAGCCACTGGGCATTGGCCACTTACCTGCATTTTTTGCTCTTCAAATTCTCCACCCCTCTCTAGTGGCAAAGAAGAATTAGCAGCAAAAAAGAGTATATTCTTAGTACCTTCCACAGACAAGCTAGATGCATCTTAGTTCTCCCTTCTAGTGTATTCTTTATAAAGAGACAGAGTAATTTGGTTAACTTTTAGTATTTTAAAATATTTTCTTTTATTTGTTTTTAGGAATTATACTTTGAGATTCATGCCTATACCGATGAATGATGCTTCCCAAGCACTCAAAACAAACCCTGAGAAAACAGAAGAGGCACTGCAAAAGGTATTGCATATACCACCAACCTGCAGACATAAAACCACTAAAAATAAAGTAATAATGTTAAGTGGCTGTGATTTCATGCTTGGTTGAGTAAGAAATCTAGGCTAGATTCATTGATTCTTTGATTGGCATGCACATATACATGGTAATCGAGTGCTGCAAGAGCATGTAGGGCTTTTTATTCCAAAGAATGCTTGGATTGAAGGGTGATGGAATGCAGTGGTGTAGTATCAAAAAGTCGTAACTAGGTAAGTGCAAGCTAGACCTTGTATTGCTGTACACAAAGGAGAGTTGGGAATTGGCATGTTTGTTACATATGTGCTTGTGTGTAGAATTACTAGTACGTGTTTTTTATTTTGGCATAAGAAATGCAGTCAGTGCTGTAGAAGACAAAGGATGCTCTTTAATTTGGGGGAGGATAAAAACATTTACTGCCTCTGTTTTATATTGTACATACAGAATTCACACACTCTGTTGCCCTAAATAAACAACTGCACCAGCATGGTTTTTTGGAAGAAGAGGTGTTGACAATATATGTAGCTGTTCCACTTGCATGAGTTATAAAGCTCCCAGCTGAGTTTTAATATAGTAAATCTTGTGAGCTCCAAAGGAGCCTCCTGCTCAGTCAGAAAGCATACAGTTTGCATCTCTTTAATGAGTAGTTTTTCCTTCAGCCAGGGTAAGGTCATAAGAATCTTATAAATAGTTCTTACAGATAACTGTGATTAAAAGTAAATAAGTTTTAGTGAAGTGATTGTCACAGGGAAAAGTGCTGGTAGTTAGTGCCTTTTTCTTTGATGCATGAAAATGATCTATATTCTGCTATTAAAAGAAAAATCAGAGTCATGGGGGGTGGACATATTTCTTACATCTTGTTTAATGTAATTGTTGATAGGTTCATACCTAGAATGATAGATATCCCTGAAAAAAAACATGAAGCTTCTGGCCATGGGAATTTAAATTCTTTTTGTTAATTAGGCATTATGTACAAAGAGCATTTTCTTTTATTCATTTCAAAGTTGCTAAAACTGTTTGGCCCTGAGGTTTTTTTTTTTTTTCCAACGCACATGGTTTGGGCTTTCTTTACACAACACAAGGAAGTTCTCTCCAAATAAAAGGTAACAGTCTCTGGAGCAATGCTGTGAACAGAGCTAATTCCATGCCCACAGGAGTGCTTGCCCCCACGGACTGAGTTGCCATGCCTGTTGCAGGGACCTCCAAACTGACTGACGTCTCAGGAAGGTCCGTGAGCTTCAGCACACCACATCTTGAGTACAATGAGAGTGTGTCTGGCCCTGTTCCAGCACCAGATGGACATATTAGCTGACCTCCCAAGCTCTGGCATACTGGATAAACCCTGCATTACTGCAGGGTGTGGTCAGACTATTCCAGTTCTTGTCGCTGATGCAGGTTTAGAGGTGACTATCAGTCCCCTTGAGTCTGCCTCACAGCCTGCTCACCACTCCATCCATCCTTTTCCCCTCTCTTCCTTTCAGACCAGATCCATCCCCTTTGAACCTTAAACAGTTTACTGGTAGGGTTTTTTGACTTGACTGTGCTTGATAGACCCAGGTTAGACTGAGTCTTCAAGGCCAGACTGGATGTGGCTTTGAGCAACCTGGTCTAGTGCAAGGTGTCCCTGCCCATGGCAGGGGGGTTGGAACTAGATGATCTTTAAGGTCCCTTCCAACCCAAACCATTCTATGATTCTATGATTCTATGATTACTTTATGTGCCATTGAGCTGGCTGATGGTAACTGTTTACTGCTGGTGACAGTTGTGGTGAGCTGTGACCAGCAGCTCTGGGTAGGAACCACTTTTCTTTGAAGAACCATTAGGTATTGCTTATCCTCAAGTAACTTTTGAACTGAGGCTCCTATATCAGTTAGGCACTTACAGATATTTTATCTTCTCTGCAGATCATGCTACCATTTAAATCTGTGTCTTTGCAGCAGACCGAATGCATCTAAAATAAATTTATCTACTATCTTATTCCTTCATGGTCTGTGTAACAACATTCTATGGATAGAGTCCCTTCAGATAATTCTCAAACCTGGATCTACTCCTTTGTCAGCCTAACTTACTGTAATTCAGAAAACACTGACGAAAGCACAGGGTTAACGACGTTTTTTTTTGAGTGTTTGCCAATGTCATTATTCAGCATTGAAACATAGAGAATAAGGTTTGCAGATAGCAAACAAATACTTAGACAGTTTTTCCTGTCAGTCCCATTTCTCATACGGAAGCAAAATTGAAAGCAAATTACGGTGTGAGGAGTTGAATCAGTTTCCTGGTCTGGTTTTGTTTTTTAGATAGAAAACTACTTGCTTCGTAACCACGAGACCAGAAAGTACCTGCAGGAGCAAGCGTACCGGCTGCAGCAAGGCATTGTCACTAGTACCACTCAGCAGGTGAGAACTTGTTCCTGACTGCTTCTTCTTGGTGTTGAAAATCTGCCTGGGGACAGACCTTTCTCTCCTCCTGTCGGAGTAGCTTACAGCAAGATGTGCCTCTGGCGTGGCTTAATTCCAGTCAACAACCAAGCACCAAACAGCTGCTCACTCACCTCCCACCTCCCCCAGTGGGACTGGGAGGAGAATTGGAGGGAAAGGTAGGAAAACTCATGGGTTGAGATAAGAACAGTTTAATAATTGAAAATAAATTAATTATAATAACAATACTAAGAATGCTAATTATAATATGAGATGAAAATAATAGTACTAATACAACTACTAATATGTAATAAAAATAATGAGGAAAAATCCCAAACAAATGACAGAACCCACTGACTGACACCCAAGCAGTGAGAGCCAGAGAGAGCTGGTGCTTGAGAGACCCGGGAGCCCTGAAAGTCAGACTCCCAGCCAATTCCTCCCAGCTTATATACTGAGCATGATGTTTGATGGCATGAAATGTCCCTTTGGTCAGTTTGGGTCAGCTGTCCTGGCTGTGTCCCCTCCCAGGTTCTTGTAGAGAAGATGCTGGGAACACAGGGGCAGTATCAGAAACTGAGTAAGTCCTTGATTTTATATAAACATTGTTTGGCAACAACTAAAAACAACATTGAGTTATCAACATTCTGCTCAGCACAAATCCAAAACAGCTTCACACGAGCTGCTGTGAGAAAAATTAACTTTATTCCAACCAAAACCAGCATAGCCTTGTGGGTGATACTTCGTTTCCCACGAAACAAAAATTATTCAATTATAATATGTTTGGAAGGAAAAAAAAGCTTTTGTAAGAGGGAGGTCTTATCATAGAATCATAGAATGGTTTGGGTGGGAAGGGACCTTAAAGACCACCCAGTTCCAGCCCCCCTGCCATGGGCAGGGACACCTTCCACTAGACCAGGTTGCTCAAAGCCTCCTCCAGCCTGGCCTTGAACACTTCCCGGGATGGGGCATCCACAGCTTCTCTGGGCAACCTGTTCCAGTGCTTCATCAACCTCTCCATGAAGAATTTCTTCCTGATATCTAATCTAAACCTACCCACTTTCAATTTAAACCTGTTATCCCTTGTCCTGTCACTACAGGCCCTTGTAAAAAGGCCCCCCCCAGCTTCCTTGTAGCCCCTTCAGGTACTGGAAAGCTGCAATAAGGTCTCCTCGGAGCCTTCTCTTCTCCAGGCTGAACAAGCCCAACTCTCTGAGTCTTAGCCCAATTCTCTCAGCCTTTATGTATAGTAGAACTGTGTAGAGAAAGACCTGAGCTATTTCTGTGTGAAGTACTGTTGGAATCAGGAACAGTTTAGTTCATTCTTGCTCAGGGGTCAGACTTTTCAGCAGGGTCTCATCAGTGTGACAGCATCATCATAAGGCTGTGCCCAGTTCTGGCGTCTTGAGTCAGTTCCAGTCTCTGCCTAGTACTGAGCAACTGTGTAAGCATGCCCTTAGGTACCACCGGAGAATAAGTCATCATCTACCTTACTCCTTCAGAACTGTGGGTATCATGGGAAGCTTTACTTACTTAGAGGGAGGGAGCAAAGGTAGGTAGAAGTCTTCTGTGCTTCTTACAGTCTGGACAGCTGAAAAAGCTTCCTGTCTAAAACAGCCCAAAATATTGCTTAAAGCTGGGAAGCTTTTCTGTTTTGTGAACCGCTACCAGGTTTCCTAAATGTCCTGTGTTGCTCTGGGCTTTTTTTCTTTTTTCCTTGAGAGGACTACAGGCATTTTCTGTGGTAGCTCACTATTCTCTCTGTTCTAGTGCCAGTACCCCTCAGGGCTGTTTTCAGATCCAGTATAGGACAGAAGCAAGCCAGTCTAAGCAGAATAAAACTTGTCACAGCCTTTTTTTTTAAATTTACTTCCATGTTTGTTTGCTCCAGCTGTGTTCCAGTGCAAATGGGATACTTCAGCAAACAGGAGAGGAATATCTGTTTTGCTCTTCAGCTGAGTAAATGAAATTTCTCTCTGTTCTCTGTTTTATTTTTTGGGGTTTGTTTTGGTGAATTTTAATTCAAAGTGGCCTTTTTCCACCTGTGTTATTAAAATATAATGAGGCAGAGTTTTACTACTGGAACCTGAACTTATACTCTGTCCTCTTTACAGAGAAAATGCTACTTGGAGATGTACTGGCACTAAAAACTTCAAGGGCAGCATCACTTTATGTTATTTTACTAATTTATGTGTTCCAATGCCACCTTTTTGCCCAAAGTTAATAATCTCCATATGAATTAAGTTTAGATCTTTTTATAGCTTGATGGTTATATTTGTGCTTTTCTCCAACAACCACACACACGTCACATTTCAGTAAATGTAATTTAATGTTATTTTGAAAGTAGAGTAAAATGACTCATTTCTATATTAAATTGTGAACAATAAGGATTGATTTTATAAACAATTTTAAGAGAGAGCTGGAAAAGATTCTGTAGTTAGTATAGTGGAACTGCGTTATTATTCCCCGAGTGTATTTTTAGTCCAGATGTCCTAATGAGACTTTGTGCTGTCTAATAATTAATTAGCTTTTTGTACTTGTTAAAAAAAAAAAAAACACAACCAAAACCCTTTGAAGAGGGAGAGTCATGTGGAGCAGAAAAGGAGCATGCTGTGAAATTATTTCAGATCTCCTTGCTAATGATATAAGATGCTAGAAATCTAGGCTTTAGTTGATGATGACATGTGCACTCAGGGGTTGCTTCAAAATGTCAAATAGCCGGTTTGCTATGTGGACTGATAAAGACTTTTAACTATTATATCTCCCTGCCCCATACATTTTAATCAAAACTGACTGTATGTCAGGCATCCTTATTGATTTGTCTTGTAGGGATACAGATGTACCACCTGCCCTGTGATAGCAGCACATTGAATGAATTGTGTTGCAGATACAGATTAAGTACAATTTACCCCACTGTGAAAACTCTGATGGAAACTTCTGCTTTGGTAGTTACAGATCCCTTGCAACTAGCAATATTTACATTTTGAAAGAGTACCCCAGAAACCTGTGCAATTGCCTTTTGCTCAGGCAGGAGAAATCTGTGTTGGTGTTTGTTGAACAGATAGTGACAGAGATTTTTTTTTTTTTTTTTTTTTTACTGTCTGGATGTCTTAAGCATTCAGGGACCTTCGGAGCTAAGTGTTAGGTATATCAACAACATTTTCAGCCTTAAACTTGCTGCAAAAACAGAGCAGCGCTTGAACTGGATAACCTGTTGGTTATTTGCACTTATCCTGAAGGTAACCGTAGGGGAAATACCCCAAAGCTTTTTTTTTTAATGGTAAAGCTTTATTGATTTTTCCAGTGTTTAGGTGTGTCTTTATGAAATCTAATACTTACCTTCAGTAGCATTGATATACCTCCAAGCTCTGATCATCCATTTCCAGATTGTTATATTGTCACTACAAATCTCACCATGGTGCTATTGAGTTGCTAGGTGGCCTGAATTCAGTTTGCATTTGACCAATATTCTGATGTTTTCTCTTTTCTGTTTCTTTTGATCAAGTAGATGATTGACAGAATATGTGTAAAAGTGCAGGACCATCTCAACTCTTTAAGAAACTGTGGTGTGGATGCTGTACAGGAAGATGTCAGATCTGCAGAACGGCTCATGCGGGATGCAAAGAACTCCAAAACAGTAAGCCTTTTCCAGCACTTTGGTAATACAGAGAGTGTGTGCTTGCAGCACTTCTCTTTTTGTGGTGTTACAGTAACAGTGTATCACAAAAGAGTATTTTCTTCAGATGATCAGCTCTAGGTAGTAATTAAAGTGATGAAATAATTCTAATTTATAAGGACTTTGATTTAGCAGAGATACTTCTTTCTATTTGTCCGGATTTGAAGGCAGGTGGTGATGAGCCTGCTTTCCAAAGATATTCTTTCTGTCTTACAGCTCTTACCAAATCTCTATCACCTTGGCGGAGCTTCTTGGGCAGGAGCAAACGGTTCACTCTCCAATCCAATCCAAGAGACACTTGAATCCATGGCTGGAGAAGTCACAAGGGTTGTGGATGAGCAGCTTAAGGTCTGTGGATAGATGTGTTACCATCTCTCACATGCAGAAATAACTAAATCTGAGATCTTCTGTTGCTAAATGCTGATGTGCCATGCTTTATTTTTTTAGCTCCTCAGTATATTTGTACCTAAGCTATCTTTTTATTATTAGTTTCTTATAACTTTGTGCCTTATTATCTAGATACTTGCCCCTTTGGAATGAAAAAAAACTGCTTCAGTGTTTGCAGGGGGCAGAAGGAGCATATACTGTTTATTATCATCTTACTTTACCTTCTAGAAGGGAAAGACTGATAAATTGCTCCTTAGGCCCTTAATACAGGCATCCCTCAAGCACCCTTAAAAGTGTCATGCCCTGGAGAAAAGTACTTGCTATTTAGAGGTATCCCACTGGAGTGAAAGCTGCTTTTCTGTAGACTCCATTGCAGATTTTTTTTTTTCCTAGTGACCGCTTTTGAACCTGGTGGAGAATTTCCACTTTAACTATTTGGTTTGGATAACGTGTAGGTATTGAGAGTGCCCCAGGAATTAGTACAGGCAGCTTTACAGGAAATCTTTTCACAAGTTGCCTGTCAAACCTCAGTTCTTGAAAGAGACTTCATTGATCTGTAAATATCAATAACCCACGTGTTCAGCCAGCTCTTGCTCACAAAATTCTACCTTCAATTATGTTAGATCTTACTGTGTAATAAGCAAGAGTCATCCATGCAGCATGCGTGAAAGAAGAAGTCAAGGTGGGAAGCTTTAGCAACTGTTGGGATCTGTATGGAAGCTGATGAATTTAGCAATATGGTTCTGAGGCAATTTAGAAGAACTTCAGTTTATGACTAATCTACCTTGCCTGTGTTTTGCTATATTTAAACTTAAAGTGAAGGTTGAACTTCCAGTTGAAACAACATGAAAATGCTTCAGTCAGTAGGAATATAATGAAGAACAATAATAATACCACATTGATAATTACTTTTTCAAAATTAAAAAGGTAATGAGGAGGAAAATGTTGCTGAATTTTTATTATTTTCCTCCCTTTCCTCATTATATAAAATAAGGTGAAGATTCTTTATCACTTTTTTAATTTCTGCAGACATGAAAGTGATTATCCACAAGATTCTTCTCCGTGGAGCTTCTAGGCTATTACTAGGATGGGAATAGTCAGGTCAGCCCTTTGTGCAGGACTCATGCACTTAAATAAGTCATGTGCATTTTGGAGAGTCTTACAGAAGGGGAAAAAAATAAAACCGCTTCAGCATGTGGAATGTTATTTATAGTTCCTGGCATAAGATCATGTTAATGGGTCTTCCATTTATGCTTCTGCACATTTACAGCAAAAGGCACTTTAGCTCGACCATTCTAACTTTCACATTCGCTTTTGATTTGTGTGGCGATAAAGTTTAAGTGCCTTACATGAAACTATAAAGTCATAATGCTCTTTGTATATAGTAGCACTCATTTTTATTCATTTTACACACAAGGCTGAAAGGTTTTCCTTTAAGTTCTATGGTGTCGTACTTTGCATGGAAGAGAAAATGTTGAACATGGATTAGGATTTTTTTTTTCCGGTTGTTAAGGTCAATTCCAAACATTATATGCAGTTTATTATTTGTGAAGATAGATAAGGGAGCTCATGTAAGTACAGTTCCTCTTGTAACTGGGGGGTGTGTGTGTGAAATATCCTATATGCTGGAAGTGCGTTTTTGACTTGTAGCTTCCATAGGAACAAGAGACTGATTCCAGAAAGAAGTGTTTGGAAATTGGGTAAAGTCAATGAATGCTCTTCAGGCAAATAAGAGATTTTTTTTAATTTTTTTTTTTTTAACATCGAAGGGAAGGGGGGAAGGAAGAAATTAGAGTAAGGAAAAGTAACGTCTTGGAGTGAGTTGAGTTGGCCAGAGGAGAAACTATAGCAAGGCCCTTGCATTTCTCCTCTCCTGCTGGTGTCACTGTGGACACACAGAACCTGTGGATGTTTTATTGGGTCTGCAAAAGCCCAAGGAAAAATCGTTGGCAAGACAAACGGTGCTTAGGCAAGAGAAGGTTGTTTTGTAAGGACAGGAGTGCTTGAACTATTCCTCCTAAATTCCATCCTGGTGCAAAGGGTTTGTTGGCTCCATCACTTGTTCCACTTTTTCTTTAGATATCAATTCTCTGGTCCTTTTACTCACTGTATCTTTCTCCTGAATGCTAGGAGTCATGAGTTGTAGGCAGGACTTCATTCTCTTTCTGCACGCCTACTGACTGGCACTTGTGGCCTTGTGACTGAAATGTTTGCCCCTCCACAGTCAATATTGGTAGCTGTGAGTTTGCAGCACTGAAAGGTTTTGGGATGGAAGTAGGGGGTGAGGAAAGGTTTATGTAGATAATGGTAATGGTTATGTGAAATCAACAGTTAAAATCCACCTCTGAAGAAACTATGTTCAGTTGTGAACTTAAAGAAGAGAACCAAACTCATTTTTAACTTTTAAACTGGACATTCTTCGAATACCCTGAGTAAAAACTAATTTTGAAATTTTCAGGTAAGGTCTTTAGTCTTTCCTCCTACTTCCCACCAACACCTTCACGCAGCATTTCTTCATCGAAAGAAAGACTGTGCTTAGACTGCAATTGCAATTCAGCATAGCAAGTCTTTCTAACTTCTATGATTGTCATCCATCAGTAACTCTTGGAAGGCTGAGTGTGATTTTTCAAGGCAGACTGCACAGTTGCACCAGTGAATAAATGCCATGGAAAAAAAGAAGGTTGTGCCAGAAATTCCCATTACTGGTTTACCTCGCTCAGTTGTCTCTACCATTGAAGTACTTCATCCTCCATGTAGATATGGCTGCAGGGGCTTGAAAGGCTCTTAATTAGTGTTACAGCCCCCAGATCTGCTTGGGGATTGAAGGAGGGAGTGCAGGAGAAGTTCTGAAAGTGCAGAGAGCTTGGGAACCCAGAAACAAGCTCCGTATTATATATAATGGCAGTTGTCCCTTGTACCTGTTAATCAAATCATAGAATCACAGAATGGTTTGGGTTGGAAAGGACCTTAAAGGCCATCTAGTTCCAACCCCCCTGCCATGGGCAGGGACACCTTCCACTATGTTGTGAAGATCAGACTTTCCTGTATGCTGTGTTGTCCTAGTGAATCCACAATTAAAAATCAGTCAGTTAAGAACTACAGACTGAAAGATGGTGCTTTGAATCATTAAATTATTATTCAGTAATAGTGGTTTTGTTTCTTACTCAGTATCTACATGTGAAAATTGCCTGTTATGGGAGGGCTGTGCAAAGAGAAAAAAGCTCTGGTAAGATGTTCAGCCTGAGGTGTCCTACCTGTGGGGTGACATTAAGAAGAAAAAGAAAATGGGTATAATTTTCAGGGGTGCAGTTCATTATTTTGTACCATTTAGAAGCACCTAGGTTAGAGCTAGGCTTACCTAGTGTGTACCATTCCAACGAAACCATGATTTTGCCTTTTTTCTTTTATTATTTATACGTACCTTTTTCTGTTTGGTTATCAACCTTCAGCCTTACTGGAGACAATTTAGTGCTTATCTGTAAACTGGGCTCTGTCCTGTTCCTCTCTTCTTTCTTTGGTTTGCAAAATCTGCTCAAAAGCTGCATGTGGCATGGCATATGTTGAAAAATCTGATGTCTTCTAATAGTTGCTGCTTGTCCCACTTGTTCAGAGGATTCAAAGCCGGGGGAAATGGGTATTGCACGTACACTGAAGCATGAACCAAGGATAGTGTCTTTGTTCTGCCTGCCATTTTGGAAGCACCGTAGCCTGAGGAGACCCTACAGTCAGTGGAGTGCAGCAGCATGACAGCTTCAGTGTGCAGAGGGACGGGCTGAGAGAACCACCTCCTTACTCATTTCTAAGAAGCACTTAATGCTGGGAACAGACATAGAGAGTTTGTTTTCAAATCCTGTGCTGATGAACCTTGACCTCTTGCTATCTGTGAAACAAGTTATTTGATGGGAAGTTAATTGATGGTTGAACAGCTTTCTGAAGATACCTAAAATAGTTCCTCTTGTTGGGAAGAGTTGAGTTGTTGGGACTGGAGACGGAGTAAGGTTGGATATAAGAGAGAATTTGAACAAAGAACAATTTCCAGTCTTGTCAGAAAATACTGCTTTGTGTTTATAAATATATCAATTTTACTGTACACAGGGTAAATATCAGCCTGTAGACAAAACAGTATGAATTTAAAATTTAGTTTTCCAAATGACCAGCTGATTGGTTTATATCGTATGTGGTCCTACCTAAGCTTTTTGGATAGAAAAATTGAAAGCAATTAGAGGAAAGATATTTCAGTGATATAGAGCACTAGCAGTGCTTCTGTGTCTCATCCTGATCCCTGTGTTTGTACATCAGAGCTTTCCTGCCCTTTTCGTGACAGAAGCTCATCCATGGATGATTATGTGAGGGGCTGTGAGCCCTCACCTGCGCCTGGACTGAGGCTCTTTAGCCTTCTAGTCAGAGCTGGGATTTGGTGATAAAACAGGATTTCAACCAGAATTACCTTTTCTCACAGGCACAGATAGGAGATAAATCTAATGCAATTGAAAGGGGCTTTATAACATAACTTCATGGCACTGAGGTATCTATGACAGATTTTTCTAAAAGGACGTCTAAGAGGGAAGAAATTGGCTTTTATGCCATCAGCAGGAGAGACCTTATTTTAAGAAAAAGAAAGTTGGGGAGTTACACAGCCCTGTTTCTGGAGTGTATATGTGTTTCTTCTGTCCTGGTTTGGGATTTTGATCAGTCATTAAAAAAGAATACGAATTATTGACTGCACTTGAGGTGCAGTGTGGACTTCTATGTATGTAAGAGAGATCTGTATGTTAAAGATTTGTATGCCCACTGCAAATCATACTTGTAGCTATTTCTTAATATTTGGCTGGTATATTCCAGCCCCATAAATCATGGCAAGTTCTCATGAGTCTCCTCTCTTTGTATACTGACGCCTCTTACAAATTGGCAGGCCAGAAGCATTGATGAAAACTGCTGATTTGGGGCAGAGTTTAGAGCGAAGGCAGCTGCAGCAGAGCATCCACTGCTGCTGGAGCATACAGAGGCAGCAGTGGTAGGTGCCCAAGGGAACCTAATTTATTGTCCTGACAGTTAAACACAGAGAGATGTAAATGCTTCATATTTGAAAAGACAAGTACAGTTGTGGGTCATTTTCAAAAGAAGTATGTAGTTCCTCCTTAGCTTTATTTTGTAAAATGCCTTTCATATTGCAGCTGGATTGCAAAATAGATTGTAAATTGGGAAGAAAAATTGTAAAAAATTACAAGTCTAAAAGTGTCATAGTGCTATGTACCAGAATAATGAAAATCTCCATGCCTGATGTTGGCTTGTGCTTCCCGTGCTGCAGACACTCCTCGAGTCTATGGTGGACGCAGCGGAAAACCTTTGCCCAAATGTAATGAAGAAAGCTCGCATCCGCGAAGACCTGATTGAGGCCAGCACTGAGAAGATTTCCATCCCACGCACTTTTGTGAAAAATGTCCTCTTGGAGCAATCTGGAATTGATATCCTCAATAAAATTAGGTACTTCAGCAGACTCATTAACAAAATTGGTCTTAGAATTTGGATTTTGGGTTGTGTGCCTCTGTGAGTAGTAGCAGATTTTTGGAATGCTTTTGTGACTCACACGAAAACATTCAAAGAGCAGGAAATTGTCCTACAGGTCTAGTGAACTTAATTCAGTAGACTGAAGCATTTGGAATCTCGGGGGATGTTAACTTTATCAATAACACATGTGTTTCTGGGTTTTCTTAGGAAGAATTTTGGTTTATGGTGCACAAATAACATTTTCATGATTGATACATTTTTTTAAACCTATTGATGTTCTCAGGCAACACTTGAATTATGGTAATAAAAGGAAATTGCACTGATTTGCTTTGAGTCTTAACAGTGCTTTGTCTGCTGCTGGATTTGGTCTTGTCCTGTAGCTGTAGCAATCACTTTAAACCTTTTTGTTTGTGTCGAGGTTGTGCACAACAGACAGACATACTTTTAAAAAATGGAAACTTGGATATTCAAACCACAAACCTGAGCAGGAACAGTTACTCTAAACAATTCTTAGTGCCCTCTTTGGGGGGGAGGGAAGGGGGAAAAATTAAAAAAGAAAGAAAAAGAAAAGGCTTTTACCTGGCCTTTTACTGCATCTTTATTTTCACATTAAGTGTATATCAGAGAATATATTTATGCTCTATAATGTGGTTGACCTGTACTTCCACCTTCACAGTTGCCATTATTTGGCTAAGGGATCCTTTCTGCCTGATGGAAAAGCATGTCATTTTGCATTGTGATGCTAATGTCTTTGCAGAAGAGGAAGAAAACAGTAAAACTTAGAATGTAATTTTGCAGAGTCCAGCAAAATTGGCAGGAAAATATGTTAAAGACTTTAGCTATGCCTTCAGAGTGTTTAAAATTGTTCACAGGGTGAGTTTTCTTCACTCTAGTTCCTATCAAACAAAATTTGATCCTGAGACTGTAGTAGTGCCCCTTCCACCCTCCACCTATAGAAGCTGCAACTGTCGGTGTGGTGAGGGTGCCAAACTTCCACCCTTTCTGCCTTACATTGTTTGAAATTAATATGTAACTGAGAGAAATTTCTTCTCCACTCTCATTCTTACCCTACCATGGCTTGGTCACCATTCTACCTCCTTGTGTGTTGCCTTGCCTTTCCAAGGAGTTTCTAACCTTTTTTTCCCCAAGGTTTCTGCAGCTGCAGTACTAGCCTTAGATAGAAGCAGTTTTGTTAATCCAACGGAACTCAGTCCATGCATAAAAACCTTAAAACAAAACCATGGTATTTGTTGGCAAGTGTCAGTTGAAGCAGTTGACCTTGAATCCATAGAGACAGGAGAGATGGAGCTTCAGGCTGCAGCTCAGGCATCATACGTGCTTGTCGGCTGCAGATGAACTGCCCTCCACAGCCTGTGCCTTTTGTGCTATGGTCAAAGACGGGACCCCAAGAGAGCAATTCCAGGTACACACTTCCTTGATAGGAAGTCACCAGTGAAACCTCAGTCCAGTGCACGGGGTGTGTTGGTGTTCCACGTACATCTTTGTAATGGGAATGGCTAACGTGACATTCTTGAGACAGAACTTGGTTACACAGACCAAAAAGAAAAAAGGGAGCAAAGTTGTGATGGCACTAGAGAACCAGCATTGTAGAGTTGCCCTTCAGCTGGCAGACAAACAAAAAGGGAGTTGAGGAAATGAGTGGATTGTAGTTGTTCAGTATAGTGCTGTTAAACAGGCTGCGCTGTCCCAATCCCAGTCCTCTGAGATTCGTGTTTCTCTGACTTCAGTGGCAAAGTGTTCCTTGCTGAGTTTCACATGTGGTTTCTATTCAGCTGTCTTACCCAGATGTTTTCATTTCAGCTCTTAGAAAAATGTTAGAAGCAGGTTAAATATGGTACAGAGGCTCTAGTGTTTATTGTGTGATTCATGAGTTTATTTCTGAAACCTGCAGTCATGTATTCTGACACCCTCTAATGTTTTATTTCAAATAAAGTGACAGCACTGTGGATAATCGTTGCGCTGTTGAACGTGTAATAAAGACAAAATTCTCCTGCACGAATTAAAATTTTCTGTGTCTCATTTTTAATCCTCACACAGTGAAGTAAAGCTGACAGTGGCTTCTTTCCTGTCTGACCGAGTTGTAGATGAAATCCTGGATGCACTTTCCCACTGCCATCACAAGCTGGTGAGTATTTACATGGTTGATATCTCAATATGCTGGGTATCTTAACAATGCCATTACATTCATAGCTTGTTCTGTTTCTCCTTAGCACAGCTTTATTTTGAAATTGGTCTTGTTTTCATTGGCATCACTGACATCATTTGAAATATGATCATGGAACTCTTGCCTCTTTGCATTAAGGAGTTTACAACCACACAAGAGGCTGCATTATATATTTGTCATACTATTTTTTGCACTGTTATCAGACCTAAAACTAAAAATGCCATCCGGATGCAACACTGAGTCATTAGTTAAGAACTCAGTAGTTGTCCTGGTGAGATAAGGGTTGGTTGATCGCTCATGAGATGAGAGATAAAATTTCATTCTTTAGAGACTGCTGAGACCTTGTTCCCTGAATGAATACATCTTGAGGCTACTTCAGAATGTAGGTGTCAAGTCTGAAGAGAAGGGAGTAGAAATATAAGAGAGGAAACATTGGTTTTTATTTGGAGGTGCTGAGCTGTCAGGAGGCACAGTTGTTTATTATAAAGGTACTTGCTTTATCAAGAGTAGAAGAAATAAACAAGTGTGTATCTACAGAAAAATGTTTTGATTTCTAATACAATGGGCCTCTGTGAGGAGAATCCAGGACTGTTTTTTAAAGAAGCTACTTGGGTGGTCAGTTTCCTGATTGAAATTGCTCTTTGTTTCTATTTGAAATTTCTCTGGCTTCAGCTTGCAGTTATGAGTTTATTCAGATGCTTTTCCCTAGACGATAAGGAAACCATATGTATTTGTCTTTATTTCCTCTCCGTGAAAGTCCTCATACACAGAAAACAAATCGCTCTTCCCCACCCCACTGGTTTAATGTTAATAAATTAAAAGACTGTGTTATTTGAGGGCGTGCCTACCTGTTACAGAGCAGCGTTTTGTAAAGATACAACCTCCAGTGTGGGCAGCTACGTAGCAGCATCAGCCTGCTCTGTGAGTGGCCACGTTAATTAGCTCCTGTGGGTTCTGGAGCAGGTTCAGCTGGCATCAGCAGTGGGCCGTCTCTGTCCAGCGGTATTGCACAACTTGGGCATGCCCCAAGTCTTGCACAGTAAGTCATTTTCTCCAGCCTTTGAGTCACTTCAGTAACAGTCCTCTCTGCCCTTTCTCCAGCTGTTTTAAAAGCCTCTTTTAAAATTGTGATCCCCAGAACCAGACAAACTATTCCAGTGTTTTAACCAACACCTATTTTCACTGAGTGAAATTGTTTTTCTCATGATACTCTTTATTACTCTTATTTTTGTAGCCAAGAAGATAAGAATTCCTTCCTTCTGTCAGAGTTTCAGTGGTAGCTCATTTTCAGGACTGGGTTTGATAGAACTCCCTCCCAGTAATGGCTTCTGGTTGCTCATCGCTTACACCTTTTCAGGATTATGCCCATAGCTAATTGCCAGTGCTCTTGATTCCTAAGGCATGATTCTCCATGCATTTGATTTGAGTTGATTTACTTTGTGATCCATTTTGGCCTGCATTAGTAACATCTCCCTTGCACTGTTTAATTCTCCTGCGTTTCTGGTAGCCACAGATTATTTCAGGTAGTATAGCACTGATGAAAACAGTGAAGAGTGCGGATCTCAAAAATGCTGATGGACCAACTCCTGTCTAATTCGTCAGTGTTATTCTTCAACTGACAGCTGCAGCCCAAGAGCTGGCAGCTAGTTCTTAATACAGAAAAGACTAAACACACTGATACAGTTCTGTGCCAGCTCCTTAAATTGGAGTGTCATGTACCACTAATTCAGGCACTTACAAATGCCTGTGAATGTTGCATTGACACAGTATTGTTTGGGGCAAATTTGAGAAATAAACCTTGTTCGACAAGACCTCTGTTTGCCTAATGGGATGCTTTTTAGTATGATTAAAGATAAATCTGTAACGGCTCTCCACTTGTTTTTCCTAAGTAGACACTAGACTAAGTGAGCTATAATTTACTTGGGTCATCTGTTTACCCTTGCTGATGGTTAACAAAACTACAATCCACTGGTTATTTGGAGTCCTGCTGATGTTAAGCAGTGGGGTCCCTTCCAACCCAAACCATTCTATGATTGGACTACAGGTCTCCCTAGCTGCCTCTTTGAAAGCTTCTGTGACTAACTGATTTGGGCCAGCTGGTTTTCAAGCACTCTTAACAGCTGTTAGTTAATATTTTCTTTAGTTACCAACAGAACTAGAAAGCATTTCATCCTTTTCTTGACAACATGAACCCACTCCATTCCAAGTACAGTCCAGGGGGGTTTATATAACATTCTCTGTCTTCTTAGTAACAGCTTTTGCTATGCAGGTCTAATAAGTGACTTTATTATTGTTAGAATTTTTTCTCTCTGATATTTTAAAATACAATCTTAGCCCATCAATCTATAACTGATTTTTTTTTTTTTTTACTTGTAACTCCTACCTGTTTCTTCAGTGAAACAGAACTGAGGTTTTTAACGAAGCTGTCCTGCTTTTTGCATAGAGGAAGATAACATTTTGGCCACCTAACAAGTATCAAAATCATATTAGCTGAAACTGTACATGTCTTTGAGTTAGTTAATTTAAAAAAGGTCCTGAACAGAGCGTCTCTTCTACCTCTTCGCTTTCTTTGTAATATAGATGGGACAAATGCTGAGGGAGCCCCATGAGACTGTTATAAGTAAAAAGTAGAGTGGCTTTTTACCTGACCTTTTTCCTTTTATTTTTTTCCTGTTCTCTCTTCCTTCTTAGAATGTGTGAGGGAATGGTTTTCCATCAAAAAAAAGAAGAAAAACAAACCCTAAAACAAAATAAATCCAGTGTAAAGATTAACACGTACAACTGAGGTTTGCTGTTGGATTTAGTTGTCTAGGGTCTGTGATCACTTAAATTCTGCAAGCTTTCTGGTTTGGTTCAGTTTGCCTTTTTTCAACAGTTTGATTGATCTGTTCCTGTCTTTATCCTTGTCTCCAGGCTGACCATTTGACCAGACGTGGCAAACCTCTTCCACAGCAAGAATCACTGGAAATCGAGTTAGCAGAAGAAAAACCAACTAAACGGTCTATCATCACGGTTGAGGAGTTGACAGAGATAGAACGCTTGGAAGATCTGGACACTTGTATGGTAAGACACATTGCTCAGCCCATTTGGTTAAACATGCAAATACCTGGAAGAAAAATGGTTTTCAAACTGTCATTGGGTAATTTCATGGTATCAGGAAACTGAAGTTAGGAATTGGCTTCTAGAAAAAATAAGTGTTAGCTTCTGAATGTTTTGTCTGAGTTGCACATTGCTGTTCAGCAAAGGAAAAGCTTTTCCCTTTTTTTCACTTCCCCTTTCCTGGTACCTATTCAAGGGCCTCTCCTTTGCATACATTGCTGCAACTGAGCTAATAGGATAAATGTCTTTCACTGGCCACAGATTCACAGAGCTTCAGCTGCAGTAATAAATGGGACCATGCTATCCTTTCACAACACGCTGCTTTCTGCCTTTGTCTTCCTTCTGCTTCACGTGGATTCCTCTGGGCCGTAACAAAAAATGCTCTGCCTGAAAGTTCTATTATTGGCCATGAACAGAAGCTGATTTTTTTTATATTAGCTTTTGAATGTATGGAAGAAGTCTTAAAACCTTGAGACTGGGCTGCAAGAAAATGCTGAACAAAAACCTCTGAAGGGCCTTATAAAATCCCTTGTGTGACTTTCATTATAAAGGTGATGCCACACCCTATCATGATCCTTAATGAGACACAAATGCGCAGAATGCAAATAAATGGGTTGCTAACTGTTTTCAACCTCAAAAAACCTTCCACCCAACATAGTCTGTTGAGGAACTCTGCTGTGGACAGGAACGCAAGGGAACATTTCTCTATTAGGACTTGGTCTAACTGGCGGTCACTGCTGCAAGGGATGGGCTTTCTCTTCTGCCCTCCTACCTGGCTCCTTGACCGTGTGCTTTTGCAGGAAGCTAAACCGGCAGAAAAATCGATTGCATCCTGTTGTAGAAATTTTGTTGTTTCAGCTCCCTCAGCTTCTGTCGCTCTCACTTAGCTACAGAATGAAAGCACATCTTCATTGGAAATACCAGCTTAAAATAGTCCTCTCTCCCTTCCAAATCTCATTCTTCACCAATATCTGATTTGATGCAATGTTTTTCTGAACATTGCAAATCCCTGTAAGGTATGGGGTGTTGACTGCATCATATGACTCATCACTGGTACTATCAAGTTCCAGACACTTCCTGTAGCCAACATTCAGTAATCATTTGGAGTCCTAAATCCTATGGGAGAGACACATCCCAGTAAAATATGTAGCATCTGAAGCCTGTACCTGTAAGTTACTTTTTGCATGTTGGCTTCATATATAGAAAAATTAGCTAAGTGCTTATTTTGACCCTCTCCCTTCCCCCTTTAAATTTATTCTTGCAGCATGTTAAAAATAATAATGCTGGAAATTTAAAAACCAGCTCCTGTCTGTATCTCATATCACCATGGTTATATGAAAGGATCGCATTTTTGTGCTGTTATCATTCACTTTTTTCATATTAAAATAATGGAAGTGTGATAATGCTTACACTCTTAGATGCTAATGGGACTTATCTTCAGAAGTGTGTATATCTCTCTTCATTCACTTCATTCACCCTCATCTTGCAAAGAGATTCCAATACCTTTGTGACCCAGATTCTCATCAATATCTAATTTCTGAAAAGAATGAAACATCAAATAAATACAAGGCAGTAATCTTAGTCAGTGCTAAAGAACCTATTTATTAAAAACTGTAATCCATTTTTAAGAACTGCTTTTTGCATGCTGGGTGCAAGTGATACTGGTTGGTCTTGTAAAAATATATAGGTAAATAGATAGCCCCAAGAGGCTAAGTAGTACAGGGAATTTTACTGGGCTAGTGTTCTAACTGAGTTGTGTTCAACTAAAAGCATCTTAAGAATGGATTTCTTACGTTTTCTGGGTGGATTTAGTAACTTCAGAGATACATCACTTGGGAAGCGCTATTTTAGTTGTGGGAAAATCATACGTATTTCAGATATTGTCTTGGAAAACTTAACCTGACTCGTGGCAGCTTTTAAATGTCATACAGATATTTGCAGGGAAATGAGGAGCCTTCTGAAAGGGGTAGCAGTGAATGCTCTGTGAGCTGGTCAGTGCAGGAAACAGGTATGTTGCTGGAAGACTTTACTAGAAAGGAAAGCATATGGTTTTATGAACTATAATTATGAACCTGATTTCCTTTGGTTATTTTTAATCTTAAATGAGAAATAGCTATTTAGAACCCACTTCCAAACTGGCATTAGTCCAGAACACCGCCTTGTTTGACCACTGGAAATCCCTAAGCATTACAAAGTCTAATGGAAAACAGATCTCAGCCGTGTGAGTAGACAGTGCACCTGGCTGTGTATTCTGCAAACCTCAAACCTGAAACCTTGCGTTACAGCGTGGTGTTGTGCATGTTTGGGAGCCTCGTTTCCTATTGCCAAAAGAATATGGAACATGGGATGAGGCTGATCATGTCACTGGGATCCCAAGAACTCTCCTAATGTAAGCCATCTCTTTCCCACAAATGTCTATCAGCTTGCTCCAGATAGCTGTCAGAATGTCCATGGAAGAAGAGATTTTGGCCTTATAGGAGAGGCACTGAGCTTGGACCACAGTTTTGGGGGAGCTGGGTTTTCTTTTTTTCCATTTGTGAAACTGGATTAATTTTGCAAACCCATTATCTTCAGCAAGCCTCTCTTTGTTGTTGTTTGCTTCAACAAGGCTATCAAGGATCAATATTCTGGCTGAAGCAGAGCGTACAACAGCGTGGTGTTATGCACCAGCCTCCCTTGAAGCTGTATTTGAACAATTTGGGCAAAAACTGGATCCAGGTTCAATTTTGACTTTATGGTTGTGGGTAGATTATATGGCACTGAAAGTAGGCGAATGACTCTGAATGAGGTGGACGTTTTTGGAACAAAATACTTATGAGCTATTTGTTCTTATACACGGGTTGAAATTGGAAGACAGAAAGGTTTGTTTGTAACACTTGGACTGGCAGCATAGAGGTCTGAAACCTCCAGTGCTGATGGTGCAGCCGACAAATGGGCACTGGTGTGTTTTACAGCCTGCCTGTTCCCAAGCAGGGTGCAGAGTGGGTGTGGCAGAGGGATTTCCCTGCCAAAGTAGAGAGCTGCCACCCACCCACTTCAAAGTTTGATGTGTATATACTGACATATCATATAAACGAAATATCACAAAGGGGCCCTTAAAATGCCCTACTGAAAAAAACTTTTCAATGTTATTTCTGGTATTTTTTCATTGTGGGAATTAGGACTTGCTAAATACCAAACTGTGCAGTTAAACCTTCCTAGCTTCAGCTTTAGGATATGACTCTCATCCAGCCTTTAATGCTGGCTGGAGAGATCATGATATGAAAGATTTGTCAGTCATACCAGAATTTGCTAGTCTGTTAAATGAGTTCTGAAGAGCACGGGGAGTGATTGAGTGGTGCAGCATAGGACGCGATGACTGGAACATTATGGACCCAGGATTTTCTCATCTCCCTGAGCTGCACTAAAGTGAATTGACGCTTCCCTAATCTACAGCTGTCTCAGTTGTCTACATTTAATTAGAGCTGCATTGTTGGTAATAAGTCATTAGATAAGTTGTGTGCAAGTAAGATGGAAAGAAAGATCTCTATGCAGAAAATTATTTGCTGTTCTCAGTTTAAAAGTAAAATGATGGCCTGCTTTTCAGAGCTTAGACTCAATCATGAATTAACTTAATAAGATGGTATGGTTTCTTTAAATTTTTCTGTGCAAATGTGAATGACACATTTTAAACTAATGCATGAATTTTAAAATGAACTTTAAATACGGCACCCTTTTTTACTGAGATTAAATACCATGTATCTTGGTATGTGTAATTGTGTAGGTAGATACTGATTTAATTTTGCGTAATGCTTCTAGTTGTACTTTATTCTTTCATAGCCATTAGTTCTTCACAGAAGTAAGGGATATTAAATGGTGCTTAATTCCCCACCAAAAGGTAACGAAGCATCTTTGTTAGCTTGTGTTTAACAATTACACTCTTAAGCTTTTGGGTTTTTTTAGCTATCTGAATGTCAATTTGGCTTCCAGAAATCTAAAAGGACATCACCAGAGTAGAGCCACTATTTAAAAAAAGGTTTTGAGAAAAATAGCTTTTTTACTAGAAATCTATGTACTCACCATTTTCAAAATATCCACTTCAGCAATATAATTTTACTGCTACAGTTAGCAACAAGCATACAGCCAGGGTAACTATTGGTTTTAGAGCAAAGCAGAGGTTATTTGCATTATGGTATGGTAGAATATTGTTTAGAATGTGTAAAGGGATTGTAGGTTGTAATACACAAGTCTGCTTATAAATCGTCTTTAAAGATGATTTAGATGGTAAATTATGTGTTTGCAAAAATGCTTGTAGCTAATAGAAAAGAACTGCCTGTGATGAATACTGAATCTTAGCCATTTCTCATCTGTTTCTGATTTTAACCATAGAGATGGTTCTGTGACTGTAATGGAAGAAAATTAAAAAAAAAAAACAAAACAAGCAACCAACCAAACAAAAAAACCCAATCCCATGAGGAATCCATTAAAATGTTTTAGTCCTTACTGAACAACAGATTTCACCTGTAGAGTAGAGAAGAAAATTTGCAGAAGTGGCAGAACGCTTGCAGAGCAGTGATGTATGGTTTTTTTCCTGGGAACATACTAACTAGCCATTGTCAAAGATCTATCAGATTAGTCCATAAGTCTTCATCAGTGAAGGCTTATGAACCTGTGGGTTCTGAAAGACAAGGACTGTGTGGACTTCAGTGTTTTCAGAGAAAAGGGAGAAATTGAGCTCACCACAGCAGAATTAATTTAAAAAAAAAAACCCAACTCATAAAGTACCACCTGAAAGCTCTTTTTCTCCACCCCCTCATCCACAACAAATGAGAATTAAAACAACAGAAACCCCTTTGGTTGTTTTCACTGGAGGAAGGAGAAAATCATGCTACAGATTTGTATGTACGTGTTGATATCGTAGGAGAAAAAATGAGAGATTCTCTGGGATCCCTTGACATGTTACCACATCCCGTTCTTGCTGCTCC